CGAGAATCTAGCATGCAACCTAACCTCGCACCTAAACGCACATAATCAAGCAATTGCTCGATGATACGCCTAAGCACATCACCGAGACTTAGCAATCAATCAACTAAGCTACCAAATAAACCTAACATGCGCCATAACACATGCGTCGAGACTCACTGAGATTCGGCTGAAGGTTTAAGGTTCGCTTCAACGATCTTCAGCATCCACGGCTTCTCCATCTTGTTCTTGACTCCACTCAACTCCCTTCAACTTGATTCAATACCTCTTCATAGCACAACCTTGATTCTTCAAGCTTTGCTCGGAATCAACCCTTAGAAATAGTATCAAGATGATGACTAGATCATGGGAATGATTCGGAGAAAACAGAACTTGCCATCGGATCAGATTTCTCAGATTCTCGATCATATGGCAGTTTCTCGATCACTGCTCTCGATCACCAGACGGATTCTCGATCACAGACGCGTCGCAGTAAGGATTTCTCGATCACAGCAGCATCCGGCGGATCAGATCTCTCGATCACGGCTCTCGGTCGTTCCTCTCAACTCTGCAGCAGCATCTCCGCGTTTTCCCCTCCTTTTCTGCCCCAAATGAATCGAACATGCTCGAGTATTTATAGGCATAAGGATGGGCGAGTCAGCACGTACGCGTGTCAGCCGTACGGACAGACACGTACGTACTGCGGACGTGACGACGACACGTGTACGGAGAGACTTCGGCTCCAAGGGATTAAACTTCGGCTCCAATCCATCAGAATTCGGCTCCAAGCGACGAAACGTGGGCTCCAAGTCAGCTTGGTCGCGAGTCGTCACTTGGTCAACGGTCGGTCAACGGGTCGCGGTACGTACCGCGGTACGGTCAGACATGCTTTTCTCGACCAACTCTCGCGTAAATCATTATTTTCTCGATCAACCTTCGCCCAATAAGCCTTAAATTAGATATTGGTCGGACAAAAATCAATCTTGCTCGACAAATTCCTTACGGAAACTTCTGATCATCGATAGGTTATCTCGCGGTACGATCGCGGTACAGAGCTTCTCGATCATCTCTCGCCCAAATCAATATTTCCTCGTCCTATCTTCTTCCAATCTTCATAATATTTGATTTCGTTCGGCAAGGACTTAAATCAGTACGACAAATTCATACGGAATCCCCCGATCGTCGATAGGTACCTTTCGGTACGTCCCGCGGTACGGTCGCTGTCGTCCGCGGTACTGTCGGGTTCGTCCGGGTACAGCCGGATACGTCCGGGTACGTCCGGATACGTCTGGTTCAATCTTCTCTCGTCCCAACTTCTTTTTCTTTCGTCCAATCTTCCTTATTCTTCTTTCTAAGTTCTTGTCGACCTTTCCTTGATCAATCCTTGCACGGCCATTTACCCTAAAATGAGGGTCACTACATTCTACCCACCTTATAAGAATTCGTCCTCGAATTCTAATGCTTCTCAATGATCCACTCCGATAAACTTCCTCTTCTCCTTCTTCTTTTCTTCATCTTTTACACCTACCTCGTTTCCCAGAAATAACGGCTTGATCAACCTTGGTACTTCTCCATCCTCTGATATTCGTTTGACCAGATTGCTTCTTGCATTATCTCGGCTAACGACATCTTTCTTTCTTAATCTTGATGGTAATGGATTACTCCAAGGTGGAGATAATCCTTCCACAATCTTCTTACTTCTTCAACGTCTTACACCATGAAACTCCTTCATCCTTGGCGATCCTTAATCAACGGCAACATGAAAGTTGGAGTGATTAGGAAAGCTTCTTCATCTCCAGCATTTCTTCATATCCATCATACTTGCAAAAGTATACTAGGGCTGTTCCCAAGGTATACTACGACTAACGCTTCATCTCGACATACTCTTCTTGAACACTGAACCTTGATTAACTGAACTTCACGCTTCTTGAGTACCATTTGCTGATCGGCTGAGAAGACTCTTCTCTGTTGACCACTGATACTTCAACTACTCACTTCTCTATTCTAAGGGATTGGCTTCGGGGAATAATTCAATTACTAACTGACTATTCCAACTATGAAGACATCCTTAAAAACTACACACAAAAACTCGGAAGTGCAAGATCACTTGACACTACGGAGTTTACTACACTCAATTTAAATGCAAAAGCATGCATAATAATAAAATTAAGCAAGCAAGCATTCAATCAATCACGCAACCAATCACACAATCACATCAAGAGAATAGATAGAACCCATACGTACCTCAAACGAGACCTTTATGGTCAAGAAGGCTAAGGGTAAAAATCTATTTCTAAGGTTTAACCCACTGACTTACTTGATCTCTTTAACACTTTTCGATCTTTGGACTGGCCGGGGTGGACGGACCGCTGATGGCTTCTTCAACTTACTTGATAAAATGGCTTAACCGCTTCATACTTCCTTGACTACTTCAACTCCAACTTCTCTGATTATCTTGATCATTGTCTTCACCAATTTTTGGATGAGTAGACTTGATCGTTCTTCTCTGTTGCTACCACTACCTCCGCTTGCCCTCACTTGAGTTACAAGCCCACGTTACTGAGCTCGGCCATTATCCTTTAACTCTTTAAAATCTTGGTTGCGGTCCCCCACGGCCATCCATTCTTGATCCAAATCCAACGCACCAACTGCAACAACAACAAAGGGTAATACCTAACCCATTCCCCACTAACTCAGGACATACCGGTTTACCTAGTTGCTTTTGCGACTCAATTTACTCGATAAAACATTTTGAAAACGTGTGTCCCGTGAGCATCATAAACCATGCTCTGATACCACCTTTGTAACGCCCCCGAACCGCTCTATGGCCGGACAAGCCACGGGCGGCCCGGAAACGTCACGTAGACAGCTCACACAGACGTTCCAGCAGAGGTTCCAAACGAATTCAGACCCTTAGCCGGACCATCCACGCGGGCCGTCCCTCACGACCGCGGTTTAGGCTTTTCAACCCTTACCGTGATCGCGAGTTGTGTTAGTCCGGACAAGACTAATATCAAATGGAAACACACACTTGATAAGAAAATACTCCTTTTATATCTTATAAATTTTCGTACAACAAGTATCCAAAACCAACAATTACAATTGGTGTCGTGAGCTACATGCTCAAATCGACACAACAATAAAACACTAAAGTTTTACAAAAGCAACAACTCTATACCGGCTTTCCTACGTCCCGAGCTTCCCTCTAATGGTTCCCACTAAGGTTTCCTGCAAAACAAAATGGAGTCATAAGTAATCTAGGATTACTTAGTGAGCTCGGATTCCCTGCAACAATCATTAGTTTAACCCAACCCCAAAAGCAATAACAACAAGCATAATTGATATACAAACATATCAAAGAATGCGGGCGGAAGCAAACAAACAAACAATCAATCAAGAAGCATGCTTACACGGAACAAGTCCGTGTAACAAGATAATTAGATTATGCATGCGACACCAACTATCTAGACTCCTCCTATGGGCCCTGATATGCTGCCTTCCATAACCTGTGAACACCCGAGCTATAACCATTGAAGGCATATAACCGGAACATCACTTCGTCGCAAGTTGAACCCACAAAGGATGACAACAAGAGACACCAGAAATATATGCATCGTCATGCATTACCCGGCCTAGGTCCCGAGTCTTATGTCAATTTTTGTGTAAGTGACCAACTAAGGATCAAGACTTACTTGACATGCCGCCGAGGAAGGACAGACATACCCCTAATTCTTAATATGCTTAAGGCACCGGACATTAAGTCACGAGTACCGCATACTAAGAATGCAACAACTTAGACACAATGAAACATATGGTTAAATAAAACACATAGAATCATATGTATCTAATGCAAACAACCACACAAGTACGGAATCATTTATGTACGGATCACGAGGATCGCAAGTACATGATTCGGTACCATAATCAAACAACCCTGCATAGAGATTCAAGTTAATCAACTAAGGATAAAACGAGAATCTAGCATGCAACCTAACCTCGCACCTAAACGCACATAATCAAGCAATTGCTCGATGATACGCCTAAGCACATCACCGAGACTTAGCAATCAATCAACTAAGCTACCAAATAAACCTAACATGCGCCATAACACATGCGTCGAGACTCACTGAGATTCGGCTGAAGGTTTAAGGTTCGCTTCAACGATCTTCAGCATCCACGGCTTCTCCATCTTGTTCTTGACTCCACTCAACTCCCTTCAACTTGATTCAATACCTCTT